CTTCATCTTTACCAGTAAAGGTAATCAAAGAACTTGATGAGACAATAAAAAAGAGATGGGGTAAATGACCAAGTTGAGCATTGTAGAAAACCTCAAAAGTGACGAATCTCAGTGAAGAACATGAGCATGGAAAAAGTTTAACACCCACAAGGGCATGATTCTGTCAAAGAGCAAATCCTGAGTTGTTTTGTGCAACAATAATGAGATATATTTAAAAAAACAAAAAAGGGGAATTTCGAATCACAAAAATAAACCCGTTTAGGTGTGACTGTGTCTCATATTCCCCCCTCAAACGCCAAAAGAGAGAAAGAAAAAAGGACCACACCTGCAATACAGAAATATTAGAGCAGTTGACTCTTAAGTTTCGGGCAGAACCACATCTCAAACTGCATTACGCACTTTTGGAAAATTTTTCCAAGGTTCTTTAATAAATATACCAACTTCCAAGTGATAATGGAATCAGAACTGACAAACAAACTGTTTCTTTCTTTTTTTTTTTTTTTATTATAATTATTATTCACATCTAACAATATGCTGTCACAACTCACAAACAGTAGTCTTCAATAGAATCAATAGACTTGCCAAACTGTACAAAATCTTATATGTATGTAACATGCCCAAGAGCACAATACAGAGTGTAGATAGGTATACGACAAACATACATCAAATATGCAACCTAAAGTCGTATGGTGCACATTACTGCTGTTCTGAAGTCTAATGGCTCGTGAAAAGGTGGTTTTGCAATAACTGACCTCCATGACATTTTCCTAGGATGATATATCTGTATTAGCAGAGCTGTTGACCTCTTATGTGGGCGTGACCTTCTGCCGTCTGTTGAATCATTTACATTGAAAAAGGAAAGCAAGTGAAGTTCCCCATCTAATGCGGCAAAACCAACAGACGAGTCATCGGAGGCCTTTCTAGGCACACAAGTCTCCTTTACCCAGCTATTAGAATTCATATCATACCTACAAATATGGTAAAAGGTACAACACCAAAACATGTTATAATAATTCACCCTTTTAAATTGTGTGAAAATAAAGAAATCCATAAGAGATGGAAAAGGGAAGTTAAAAGAAAAAACTCGAATGAAACACCTTGTACAACTATATATGATGAGGATAACTAAGTATGTGTTATCCTGCTAGAATTATTCCCTTAACATGGGACAAACACCTCCATCAGCTTTGTATTTACCTAACAAATACCCACACTTGAGGACAACTATGAAACAGAAACAAGTCACCAAGGTATTATCATAATTAGCTCAATATCAGAGCCATTTTTTGTAATTACCAAATCACACAAGCACAGAACAGCTCAATTGCAAGAAAGTAAAAGGCAATACATCGCATGCCTAATCTATAGCTCCAACAATATACTACACTGTAACACAGAAGGGACAAGTAATCAACCATCAATACAATCAGAATCAATCCGAGCCCTCAAATGGAAGAAGAGAGTCAAGAGACCACATATCAGTACCTAAAGAAGTATTGCACTTGAAGAATGCACAACACCTCACTAGTCATCTTCAATTGCTAAACATCTATACCATTGCTTTAAACATAACCAAGGTCCTTCTCTGATAGAATTCAACTCATTTAACTACTACACACACCACAATGACAAGAAATTCAAATCCAGACAATTATTGTGTGCTAAAAATGACATTTATAATCTTACCTGAAGATTTCACTCTTGTCAAGCATAAAAATCTCAGGCGAACCCATGCCTTCATCCTCGATCATGACGATTTTCCCGAGCCTCTGTCTTTCCCCTTCCTCCCACATATCCCCAAGCTCCCTCCATTTCCCTCCACTCGTTAACTCCATAACCACAGCATCCCTGTAGTATTCATCCACCGGAAAAACTCCCGAGATCGTTCTCGATTCCCCATACCCTCCCATCACCCAGAACTCCCTTCCCAAGAAGAACCCAACACAACCAGCCCGAAACCTAGGCAAACCATCTAAAGCCACCCATTCATCCTTCTCGATATCATACATCTCCACTGAACTCATCCTACTCCCGGCTGCCCCAAACATGGTGTGCCTCGAACCCCCGCCAGCCACCACAATCTTACCATGCTCAGGCATGGCAGCACAAGCAAAACTTCCACGTGGAGTGATCATGGGCGACAGAGAATCCCACGAGAAGGTAGCGAAATCGAAACGGAAGGCAGAAGAGGATGGAGATGGTCGGTCGAGGGGAAAAGACCGCGTGTCGAAAAGAGAACCGCCGAGAACGTAGAGATGGAGGCCCACGGAGACGGTGATGAAGTTGGAGAGGCCGTAAACGTGGGGGTTGCAGGGCATGGGCGGCAAGGGGGACCACGAGAGGTTTTTGGGGTCGAACAGATAAGGGGAGGAGACCGAAGGGTCCTGCGGGAAAATACACAGCAATTCAGGGGCGATCGAGTAATTCCGGCGGAGAGAAATTAGGGCTTTCGAGGAGAAGAAGCGCCGCCATGATTTGCAGGTGGATTTGAGGCGGGGGTGGTGGGAGTAGGGCACGAATGCTAGAATCAACGCGCCTAAATCGTTCGGGAGGCCTGGGATTAGGGTTACGGTGACGGATGGGACTCCAAATTCATCGGATGAAGACGGTGGGGCCATTATTTTTCCGATCAATCAGCTGAATCGAGCAAATGATCGAGCAACGACGGTTGTTCTGTTGGCCGGAGCAGATTGTGAGATATGAATTTCTGGCCGATCGTGTATGGGCGAGAAATGATATGTACAGAGCTTGTACATAAACGAACGACTGTTGATGCTGAGAGTACAACTTTGACTCGCCTATAATGGTGCATGCAGAGAGTGTTAAACTGGTTTTCTGCACAAAAATGAATATCAATGGCGGTTTCTTGATCGGTAATTTTTCAATCCGTTGAAAAAATCATAATAATAACTTTTAGACATGAAAAAGGAAAACCCCCGATTATCTATTCCCCAATTCTCATGTGGCCCGATTTAACCATTATAGAATTCATATTTATATTATAAAAAAGCATAATTTTATTTATGTTGAATTTTAAAGTATGATGATTTTTTTATTAAAATATATAAAAATTTATAAGAATAACATGTCGGTCTAATACTTAGAGTATCTTTAACCATATAAGTTTTGGATGAAATTTAAAAATACAAACTTTGAAGTTTTCTATTATAGATGAGATGTTTGAGGTTTGTAAATATAAACTACGTTTGAAAGACCAAACCTCATGTGGTCCATTAAAAGTGAATGAATATAATTTTATAGTGAAATATTATATAATATATAAAAATAAGATATTAAAATAAAGTAAGTGAGAAACATATGCGCGAGATTTATGGTTATTGGTATATATCACGAGAGATTAAACCCCATAATCTTATGGTATTATTGTTATTTTCTTTGACCCTTTGTACTATGTTATTCACTTTGTACTCTTTGTGATCATCTTACATGTATTACATTATTTTGAGAATCTTCTAAGAACAAATTTGAAAGTATTTCTTTTGTTATGATAAATTGTCATTGGGCTGGACAATAATTCATTTGATCCATTAGGTCTGTCGAAGTGAAAGTTTTCTCAAGTCTTTGTCGAGAGGACAACCGAAAACGAAGTCTAATAAGGAAAAATAATGAATTAACAAATGGTAAAGTGATTTGTTTGTTTTGAGTTCAATGTTTTACACAGTTCATATATTATGGATTATAGTAAAGTGGGAAGTGTTTGTCATTTGTTTTACAAAGTAGTGTTTATTTCTGTAAGTCAAATTTGTTTTTTATTTTTTAAGTGCTATAGATAATTCTACAACAGGAATTCAGTTAGTACAACTCTAATACATTTGTTTGCTAAAAATATTGTTTTTTTTTTTTAATATTGTCATTTGAGCATCTAATCATATAAACTCATCTCTGAGCAAAAAATGGAAAGAAGGCATGGTGTTATGTCTTGTCTTGTAGTGTAGGGACGGGTCATGGGTAGCTATATGTATAATGTCTAAGGATTTGCATGAGACTTGGTGGAAGTTGAGACATATGAGACTGGGACTTTTTTGTTATTGGCTTTCTTGATCTGTTAATGAATTTATTTAGTGAATCACTTGTTCACCGAAAATGAGGAGGATTGTCTGTTATAAATAATCGATGGTGGTTTATTAGCACAGTGATGATGGTGAAGGACGCGGCAACTTGGGACACTCTCACAGACTGCCACAATATCTCAGACTTGTAGGAGGATGGGGGGTGTTATAGCCTTATGTGATCTTGTGTTGGAAATCTTTTTCTTCTAAAGGAGAGTGCTTGCAGTCAAGCATTTAGAAAATATATGCATATAGTTTGTTGTGTTTCCAAACACCATACTGTGTGTATAGTGAAGAGGCAGGTTTTATTGTGGGAGAAAAATGATGAGTTTGAATGAATGATTGCAAATAAGTAGAGTACGTATGTATGCTATGCTATATATACATTGCGTTTCTGCTTCTTTAATAATAATACCCCAAATTCCAACTGCAGGACACAAAAGTGATTATGGAATCAAAGTGTTACTTTTTTTTTTATACGCCATCACAAACACTAGTCTTCAATAAATCAATGAAAATGTGAAACATGAGAAAATGTCAGGTTTGAATAGAAAAGCAAATATAGCAACCCAAATCATCAACTTTAATTTGATCACTCCTAGCATTTTCAAATTGTATTTCAACACATCACTTCACGAAAAAGATGCTGATTAGACATGAAGAAATGGATCTGGTGCCCAACCGGCCAATTGTTCTGCTCAAGACAATGGTCCCATAAGGCATGTGTTACTGAAAAGGGGTAATGAAGGTGACAATTTGACTTTCGTAATCTCCCGAGACTTCAACTTATAGAATATATAGAATATATTGATACAAGGTAAAAAACTAATCAGCAATTTGATAATTACATAAATTAACATAGTCCATACATAAATTATATCCATGTTTTTACAAATTTTTATAGTCGAGTAAAAAAAACTAATATATATATATAGACATTTAACTTTTATATTTATAACATAAACAATAAATATATATATATATATAGATGTATAATTAACATTTGAAAACTATATGGAGTGTGTATTGATAATAAATTCAATCCAACCATCATAAAATTATTTGTAAAACCTTCTTCTGTGAAAATATTTTCAAAATATTTTCATAGCAATCATACCAAGACTTTGAATTAATTTACCAACATTATAATAAAATATTTTTTAAAGTTTAAAATAAGAAAACAATATCTTTTGCTTATTTTATAACACGTGTTCTAATATTTTTATGTGTATGAATTATTAATTTATAATTAATTTATTATTTTTTTATAAAAAGTATAAAATAATAAAATATTATGAATGTTAAATATAAGTCTATCATTAATTTAATATATTTTTAATAAAATATTAATAAATCTAATTTATAAATTTGTTAGATAAGAGATAGTATTGAAAAGTTGTAAAATTTGTGAAAAAAAACATTCCGAAAATATTCTTTTGAATTTAAGAATGTGTTTTTCAGTCGAAAAAGATGACCTTACACACATGGTTGACTGAACCAGCCGATTCAACTAGGAAACGACTAGCACACCGGTCCGATTTGAGGTTACCGTCTGAACCGGTTGAAAATCAATAAAACAAAAAATTGGGACCAGTTTTGCGGCACGTCAATTTAGTTTTGCCAAAATTATAATTTAAATAGGAGATGTAGGAGACGCTTTTCCCTTGTATTTTACATGTAGGATATACAACTAATAGTCTTTTATTTCATGGCAACAAAACAATCAAGCTAACCCTTAAGTACAAAAAAACACACACATGGAAAATGTGTACCTTTAAAAATAAATTGGACTTTTGAATCTCTTTGATTCCTCCAAAATGAAAAGGATAAACAAGTTAAACACATAAAACCCAAAGAAAAACACACATAAGAAAATAAACAACGAGAGAAGAAGATAACCTACTTCTGCAAACAGGCCGTCTGAAAGGGGTGGGGGGCAGCTGGTGCTTGGCCCAAGGGCCCTAACCGGTTGGGGGCCCATGAATATATATACATGTATAGTTAAAGACACCCTATATATATATATTTGTACCAAAAAAAAAAAAAAAGACACCCTATATATTGAGATAAGGGTGTCTTTTACTATTGTTTTACCTTCTTAAATGTACTGCTTTTTTTATTGGCTAAATATACATTGCAAGTTATCTCTTATAAACAGTACTATATACTCAATTGTTATATTTAAATTTTAATTAAGTTGTGGGGCCCTTTGTGTCTTGCTTGCCCAAGGGCCCTCGAAATTGTTGAGACGGCCCTGTCTGCAAATAATATATTTCAGCTAGGTCTAGCTCGCTTTATTCAAGTGTAATTTAAATTTCTCCGTCAAATGTGAAAATCTTGGGTCAATTAGAGAAATGCATATATGTAAATAATTTCATACTAATTATTTTACCGATGACTAATTTTTTTAAATTTTAGTAACTGATATCTTGCATTTTTACAATTACATATCATGTAATTGTAAGGATGCAATTAAAAATTGCCCCACTAAACTTGCAATTAAGTTCAAATCATGTGATAAAGATCAAATTTCGCCATGAGTTAATTATGCTTATTACCATGCATAATTAGCTAATTAATGACACCCCCTATCCCTTAGTTTAAATATTTTACATTAATATCCTAATATATTATTGGCTTAATTGCACATAAAATTCTTACCTTTTGTGTAATTGCAAATAAAACCTAATTTTTTTATCTTTGCAAATAAATACCAGACCTTTATTATGTGTTGCAAATTTGTTTCAAAACTATTTTCCGATCAATACTTGCTGACGTGTTCGATTAGAAATCGTACGTGGCATTGATGAGGCTTGACTCCTCACCATGTTTTTGTCACATCATATGAAGAAATAGGATTTTATCACCATGTTTTTTGCTCTATTCTTCATAAAAATAGTTCTCCACTCCCAATTGAAAAAAAAAATTGCAACGATTCTTCTCTTCTCCATGGTGCGATTCTTGACCCCCAAAAATCCAGTTCATCCCTAACATTCCGAATACATTTACGAGCTCACCCCCAAATTCTAAAAAATTGAGCAGAGGGGGAGAATTTTGGGGAATTTTCAGGTGATTTTAGTGTTATGTGAAGCGTAGAAACGAGAGGCTTGACGGTTTTGTGACTTTCGTTAATGTAGAACGGATAAATTTTAATTCTATTTTGTATTTTTAGAGTTTCAATTGTGAAGGGGTTCAAATTTATGGTTCTTGGATTTTGTGGTTTTTCTCTTAGAGTTTGAAAGGTTGAGTGCCACGTAAGATTTTTGATCGGACACGTCAGCAAGGATTGACCGGAAAATAGTTTTGAGACAAATTTATAATACATAATAAATATTTGGTATTTATTTGCAATTACACGAAGATTTTAGGTGCAATTATACCTATACTATTTAGACAACATTACATCTTTTGTTTCCAATACTCCTTTTGTGGACGCTTTTAGATTTGGTTGGGTTTAACAATTTTTATTTTTTTTTTATATTATTATTTAATTTAGTATTATCTTTTGTGACAGTTCGTCTTTTCTATTAATTATATATATCTCTCTCTTTTTATTTTTTGCATTTAGCACATAAGAAATCAATTGGGGACGGGAAGAAATCCATGACGACATCCAACAGCGGCTGAACCTCTTTATTCTTGAGAGCCGATTCGCATACAACCGGAACAAAATTGGCCGACATCATTTTTTCTTTTTTGTTGATCGATTTGTAAAATAGATTTGAGTCAGTACTCCTATGAATCTCGTGAACCAATTCTTGGACAGTTCCAAGGTCTCAAGATTTTTAAAGCTACCAAACTCGGGGGATGGACCCCACGAGCCCTCAATTTGATGCCACGAATCGAAGGAAGGAAGCACAGATTAATCCCGACAGAATTCATTGTCAATTATTTGGTGATGCTCGAGCTTTCGACAACGGTTGAGTGAGGATACGAAGGTGAGTCCTCCGGTGTTTGTTAAGTTATTCTTCCAAGTCGAAGGGCTTTAAAGTTTGTGAGGGTACCGAAATTATATTGTTAATTTAAAGTTGTTTTGATGTTGTTAGATAGATGTTATATGGTTGTTTTGTTGTTATTCACACTCACTGTCACATTCTTCTATCTTGTACCAAAAAAAAAAAATCTTTAAATTCTTTTATGTTGTTTTTGCTTAAGAAAGATCGGTGGTTTTTTAGTTTGAGTTTTTTATTTTTTCATTATTATTATTATTATTATTATTATTATTATTGTTGTTGTTGTTGTTGTTACATTAATCCACCTTATTTTATTAATGATAAAATATTTTCTTGCTTTTTTTCTGTAAATTAAGACAAAAACGTTACATTTTAAAAAAACTATATTGTAAAAACTTTTTTTTAGTTATTTGTTCTAAAATAAATATTATATTTATTTATGTGATTAAATAATTATTTTTAAAATAAACTAATTTGTTTTAATATTGTAGTAAAATTTCTTAAAATTTCATAACCAATTGTTATAATAAATTTAATATTTTTAGCTAATTGATTAGTAATAGTCCCTCAAAATTTCAAAAAATTACATTATTTTTTTTTATATTTTATACATTCAGTATAGTGATTTATATGCAATCAATTTGTTATGTACTATTTATTTTAGTTATTGATCGAATTTTAAAACATATACCTTTATCTAACTTATACTTTTAATATTATACGCATAAATATAACTTATAATACTTATGTTTAAAATAAAATACCATTATTTAACATAATTTTAATATTATATAAATATAATTAAATTATAATATTTTTTTTATATTTGTGCAAATGCACAATGCCGAATACTAGTATTGTATGTATATTATGTAAGTATAGTATGTATGTTATAATGAGGAGTTTAAATGATTGCAAATAAGTATAGTATGTATGTTATAATTGTTTTGCAGTTACTTTAACATTAAATAGCCGGCAATTAGAGCATCTGCAATGCTCAACTTTCAACATTAATTAAATTTGAACACATGTCAATCAATGGATTAATGTTTAATTTACATGAACTGAATGTTAAAAGAATAGGACTTTCACTTGAATTGTTAACTCCAATGCATCCATTCAACAACCATACAATTTGTATATGTAGATGTATTCATTTATTAATAAAGTAAAAGAGTATATTAAAAAAAACCACAAATTTCAATAATTATATGCATTATGTTATTTTTTGTTGATTCAATTAATTTTTATTTATATCATCAAATTTATAAAATTATTATTTATTCAATAATTACTCAGTTACAATATGTATAATCATACAATAAATATTTTTTAATCGGTTCAAAATAAAACCACAAAATATTAAAATCGCAAGAACTTAACAAACAAATATCATGAACATAATATTTTATTTTCAGGACAATGTTATTGATATTTTTTTAAAAAAAAATTAGTTGTAACTCATCAAAAAAATTTATTGTATTCAAATAAATTCTCAAACTTTTTCTTAGATAAATCTAAGGGTGGGATTTTTCCAAGTTTATGATAAGCTCAAAATTTGTGTCAAATAATTATCAAAATGGTGAGTCATCATGTTAGAAAGAATGTGTGAAATTAAAAAGTGAGTTTGACAATGTTAACATTAATTTTTTACACATAGGCATGAAAGGACCCATAATCTAATGCGGATAAATTATTCACACACTTTCTATCTAGATGAAGTGGATAACTTTTTACTCTTTCAAAAGAATGCATTAGAGATGTTCTTAGAATAAGAAAAGCTGCAAAAGAATTTGCAAACAAGTCTTTAAAGGTAATTTCCAATTAAAAATTTATTTTCAAATTCGTTTTACAATAACGGTCATCAAACAATAATTCATCTCTAACCTATTAACTCATTTACAAATTCAAAAGAATATTTTTGAAATATTACTTTTTCATCAATTTTTACAATATTTCAATACCATCGATATTCTTTACAAATTTATAACTTCGACCTTAATATCATTTTATTATATTTGATATACAAACATGAAAAAAAAAAGTTTGATTGAGTCATAAATTTCATGCAAATAAAAAATACATAATTGTTTCTAAAAATCTTTTAGAAAGATCATGTTAGGTCATTTGAATTTATAACATGTGCATATAATTCTCTTTCTTTTAACCGTTTTTTTATAATGTTCTCTTTCTGTATAAATAAATTATTTCAAAAGTATTATAAGAATATTTTTAGAATATTTTATAACTATTTTAATTATTATTATATTATATTTGCATACAAAATATATCTAAATTTTTGGTAGTCGTATATTTTATTTATAAGAGTAATAGAAATGACTATTTAACATAACAAAAAATGCAAAATATGTGTCGAAATGTATACAAAAATATATATAACTAAATATATACCAAAAAAATATATAATTAGATATATACAAATCACATAACACATAGAGAAACACACCTTCAACACAATTACTCAACACTCAAACACAAATCCAACACTCAACATTACTATTTACAGAACAATCGATAAGTACAACTATCACGAATAACACAAACAAAAAGAACCTATAGTTTAGAATTTCAGTCATGGCATCCAAGTTAATATGATTTCGATTATGAAAAAAATTATTTTTTGATTGATTAGTGAAGATGAGTCCAAAATACATATAGAAACATGCAAGACAATAAAATAATATAATTAGATATAAGCATCTTGAAACTTGAAACGAGTCAAGTGGAGTCGAACGCTCCAACTAAACACATGGAACTGGCGTTAGAACTGAGCATGGGACTCGGAGAATTCCGAACCGTTCTGAAAACCGAACCGAAATTACACCGAACCGAAAAATATCCGTTGACCATTTCACTTTCTCCGAACCGAACTGAATCAAAAAAATAATTGGTACGGTTCTAGAGATTTCATAAACATCCGTACCGAGAACCGAACCAAACCATCCCGTACCGTACCGAACCGAAGAACTGAAATTAAGAACCGAATTATAAAAATAGATGCGTGTTATTAATACATTTTATGTCAACTTTGATCCTATATAATTTGAGAATTTTTAAAATGCAAATAAAATATAGTAATAACAATTAAGATTCACTTACATTTCATGTTTAGTAATACTTGATCTACAATTGAATTTCTCATGTTTAAAAAAAAATAAAATGGAAAAAAAAAAACATATAAAAAATAAGATATAACTAGGTGGTCATTCAAAAAAATTTAAAAAATGATAAGAAATCTCCGAATATCCGAACTGAACCGAACCGTTCCGATAGTCCCTGAAACCGAACTGAACCAAACCGAACCGAAAAATAAAAATCTCCGAACCGGACCGAACCGATTTTTTGGTACTGTTCTGGAGATCGAATATTAGTAATCTCCGAACTTCGATACGGTTCTGGATATTTATCAATATCCAAACCGTACCGACCCATGCTCACCCCTAACTGGCGTAGGCCACAATAGATGTGTGGAACAAAGGCCGCGGGACCCTCGTCGCCTATAGATTCTCGAATCTCCCAAGCTTGCGACATTTGTCCTTAGAAATCGCAAACTTGTATAGTAAATATTGTAAATTAATTTATTAACTGCACATTGAAGTTTATGAGTTAATTATCTATAGTGTTTGTGCAAATATAGTAAATTAATTTATTAACTGCACATTCATAAATAAATATTCCAGTCATTAGTTTTAAATTTGTTTTTTCTACATCTCATGTTCCTTTTGTTTGTCTAAAATTTAAAACAAGTTAATTGAAACAAGAAGTTCCAAAAGTGACCTCTGTTGTGTAGATTTATTTGTTAAAATATTAGATGTTTGTATTTATATGTTTTCATGCGAGTATTTAGATAGCCCAAAGGAAGATTAATAGTTGGCAAAAATATATAAATACTTGTCGTGATAAATATGTTACAATATATAGTTATATCCATGTGAATAATATGTTTTTCAAAAGAAAGACTATTATTTGACAAGAATATGTTACAATATATAGTTATATCCATGTGAATAATATATTTTTCAAAAGAAAGACTATTATTTGACAGGAGTTTTGTCAATATAAATACTTGTGGTAGTAAATATACTTTTGTTTGGATTTTTGGTGAATAAACATTTTGTGTTTGCAAACTCCTCCTTCAAGTATTTTGGTGAATAAATATTGTAACCTTGAGCAAAATATACGATACTAATAATTTTCAATGCGGAAACGTAATGTACGGTCCAAAGGACAACATTTACTTTTGTATTATGATTGTGCAAAGACGGTTAGACTTGCATATCCTTTGGTTTGAGGATGTTATGTTTGATATGACTATCTATTTTGTTGTAATGGTGTTCTTATTTTTACCTTTGTGTTATGTATCTCATTTGGTAAATAGTTTTTAGCTGGTTTATCAAATCTGTAGGATTTTGTTTATTATTAATTTTAAACTTTTGTTTTGAACGTGTCTTTTATTTTTGGTTGTTATTGTCATGATTTATAAATTATTATTTAATTCAAGCAATAGGAAAAAATATTTTCAAGGCATGCAAGTGTATACACAAATCCCAAAGGTTAGCATCACGATTGAAATAATTTTAGTTACATTCGGTATTGATAATTTTAGTTACATTCAGTAGATTAGTACCCATCCCATAAAATCACAATTACACAGGTTAATAAAGTGGCTTAGTTCATCGTCGAAAGACGGAGGCATTTCTGGGAAGTTGTGAATTCTTTACTTGCAGAGAAATGGTATAGCAATGTACCAAATTTTTCGTTAACAGGAGATACACCCGAAATCTTTAATCCTTTTGTGTTTGAAGTCGATTCCAATTTTGCATGTGAATTCTTCACTCTCATCTCCTTTCAAATCTTTGTATAATCTCCTGTTAAGAGATGCATCCGAAACTGGAAGAGTATTGCAGTTGGAATCGACCTCAAACTAAAAGTTAAATGGAAAGTTTATTCTCATGTGTCCCAGTGCTCAAGCTTTCATAGATACCCATTCAAAGCTAATATAAGGACATGATATATATACAGAGAGGGAAGAAAATGAAGTGCAGATGATAGACAATGAGCTAAATAGAGCCATTTATCTCAAACTACAACTTAAGAAGATTAAAAACACTCAATATACAAAACCTTGGATTGTCAAAAGAAAAAACAATAATAAAATAAAATAAAACATGAAAAATTACCTATGTCGTTCACCAATCCCGCAAAGGCTGCCCATGTGACAAAAACATATATATACTGTCCAACTGCCATTACAATAGCACTATCCACTTTAATCATCATCATCATTATCCGTATTGTGCCTGAGAATAACCCATGAACTTTTTCACCAAAGGGATCAAAGCCAATCAAACAATTTGCAGCTGCTCAGAACTATTGATTTTAATGTTTAACTGGCCGGAACCCCCTTTTTTTAATATTAAGACGACCGACCAAGTTCGTGTACTGCCCGATGGGATATGTGGCTTAGAATTGCACCCAATAACAAGATCACCATGCCAATCCATGACTGAAATCCCAAAAGTCGAGAAAAGCCTCAAAGGATTGTCTTTGTCCTTCAAAGTTGCTTTCAGACTCCCACCATACCATACACCACCTCCCCAAGGCCCTAAATTGCCCCTCCTGAAATAACAACATGCCCATTTTTACTGATTATGATTATTAGTTCGACCTCTAATTTCACTCTGCCATCACAACATCACCTAAAGCAGTAGCTGAGATACCAGCAACCGCCTTATTTAACCCATGATTGATTGCTAAACCGAATCTAGTGTAGGCACAGTCCTTGCCTACCGACTGCATGTCAAACCCAAGAGAAGTTGCTTTGCCTTTGCCATGCGATTTCCATCTGAAGGTTGGTGTGCTTTTTATCCTTTGAAATTTGACCCGAGAATGATATCAGACAGTTTCTCCTTCAATGTGAACAGTTTCTCAATGTTCATGCTATCGTACCCGATATCATGGTCCCACCCATTGGGTTCCGAAATTGGCCTCATGAGCCAGGTATTGGAAGAATCAAGCGAACAGTACCGATGAGTTAGATTATCAGAGTCGAATGAAACTGGCAAAGCCACATCCAGCATGGGAGCGGGTATGGACAAAGAACCACCCGTTTCCTTATTATTCTCATCATCATTATTCTCACTCAGCAGGCAAAACCCTTAGCTGCAGCTACAGAGAAGTAACACCCCATGTTTTTCTTATCTCCACCTAGCAAGAGCGGTGTCCCAACCCCTCTTCTTTGAGGCAGAGGCAGCAAGCAAATCAGCATCGCCACTTCCCTTCATACGGACGAACGTCTTGTAGCTGACCACCCAGGGAAGCACAAAGCAAAAAGGAAAAACAAACAATTAAACTACCATCCCAAACATAAAAAAATCAGTAGCTCAATGGACCAATTAAAACAAAGGCGCTCCATAAACCGAAAAGAAAATGAACCGCAAAATGATCGAACAGGGCAAACCACAACCCCAGCGATGATAAAAAAAATCAATGCATTAAAAATGGGTGTATAGTTCCATAAGCACATCCTGACTTGGACAGAAGAAATGTAATCCTCTAATATAAACACAAAGTTCAGGATCACGAAAATCAAACCTTACAGTAAAACCTTGTCTGCAGAACCTATAAAATGCCCCAAATCATTGGTAAAAAAAGAATTTATGATGTACAACAGGCAAGCAACACAAACAAAACACTCAGGCAAATTGCCAAACAACAACTTCCACCTGACAAGGAAGAAATGAAAGATAAAGATACTATGTGAGCAGTTTAAAGCCCCCACACACAAATTAAGAATGCCCCAGCCCCCCAGCCAACACAACTAAAACACAATAAATGCATAATAAGCAAAAAAATAGAGCATAGGGTACGAAAAAATTTATAAAGAATGACACTGCTAAAGCATAGTAAAAATTCAGACCGCCTTTCAGGAAACAACAAACCCATTCGGCGTGGTCAACCGCAATTTACGGCAATCACATCACCGCAAAAGCCGGGGAAAAGACACTGATCGCATGTCGCAGATGCCCCGACAAAACTGCACGGCAGGCCCTGGCCAGAGATCTGAAATTACGGTTCATCGGCTCTTCTTCCAAAATCAGATGAACCCTAAAAAACCACCTCTGACGAAGAATAAGATAATGGAGTTTTAATAAGGTAAAAATCCGATCTTTACCAAATATTCAGGTTAAAATCTCGAAAAGATTGACAAAAAACATAAGTAAACGTACATATATGAGCTTTTGCCTCCCTCAGTCCGGGCAGCCAGCTATCGCACCATGTAGCCGCACCATCGCCATCCGCCCGAAGCCGCTGGTTAGGCATACATAAGAAACAACAATGAAAACTCAAAACTCTAAAAAATGTCATCAGGATATAGAAATTTGAATCTGAAACGCACATTGAGGAAGAAATTTAGATTTTTACAAACATACGGAGGTGTCTCTCTTTGAACATTTTTCCGCGTAAAATCTGGGTGGAATTTAATCCATGCTCGAATTCAGTCGCTAAATTCCCAGTCCTCAGGGCTGCCGCTTGCCTGTGATCTCCATACCAAGTCAACGGCCGAACACCACCTATCTTCAGTCTGCCACCACTGCTCGCCAACGATCTCCAAATTGGCTATAATTATTAAGCCATGGATCCCTAATTAAGCACACAGCAAATATAGAAATGGTGTGTTCAAGGGGCTAAAAAGAGATACATAACTGACAATCTGAACATATACCTTTTAGTCTCAAGATACTACATTTCAAGAACACTGCTAAGATCTTGAGCAAAGATTTACTTTGCTAGTCAAAATTCCAAAGTAACATAGTAGTTCAAATCCATTATCATATCTGTTACCGTAAGCAGATTAACAATTGTTAAATGTTAGAAGAGGTTTGACGCCGTAAATGGACACTCTTAAATAGAAACCTAAAACTTGGCATGAACAAAAAAAATAAAATAAAAAAAATTAAACTTCTATTCACATCACAATGCCACAGACACAAGCAGAACCAATCAAAAAATTTAAATGAAAAAGGAATTCTTCACACAAATCCTAAATATGAAACTTATCATATCATATGAATACTGGGTTGTACCTTATAACAGTTCCACCCTCAGTTTTGACTTTCCTAAACTTCAGCGTGTTGGTAAATGCAACGACAATCAACCTGACCCCTGAAATTTAAAAAAGGGCCGACAGCAACGAAACAAAGGAAACCTCATCATCGCTAAGGAAAAATAATTTGTAGGGGTCACAACAAAGAAACATTAACAAAGAAGGCCACATTTTTCAATTAGAAAACGAAATTAAATTCTCATAACAGAAAAAATTTAGACTAAAAGGGCCAATTGAAAAAACCACCTAAAAGAACTAATCGAAAACAACAAGATGTGCTATCAGCTGCACACAGGCGGCGTGAACCTCGCCATAAAATTCACGGTTAGGGAGATTGGAAACGAAATCCCACCGTAGATAGGTTTGTACCCTCAAATGGCCACACACAGACTCCTCATTGCGGCAGCATAACACATAAAAATAAAAGCACAAAAAGAATACCCAAAAAGTGCGGAAAAAAAATACAACGACCAAATCGCACGGTCGGCGCACTTCACGAACGAAAATGAAGCACACACCACATCCCGCAGTCTCTTCAAAGCATGCCAAAAAGTAAATTCAAATACAGAGAACCTAGATTTTACGCGTAGCAAATCCACCGAAGAGCAAAAAAGATATGGCGTACCACCTCTATCTCAGCAGATTTCCCTCTCTCCCTTAAAGCATAAGTTAAAGTGGCAGTTTCGTATTTACCGGGAAAAAGTAAAGACATTATTGGGTTGGAAAAACGTCACATGTCAGCCAATAAAGGCCAATGCTAATTCCTTATTTTGTTAGTACAAAATCCTCAAAGCCTTTCAAGACAGGCCTTTTCTTGTGCAAAAGACATGTATTTCTAGTTTGCTGTATTCAAAGAGTGATGTACGTTTGAGAGAAAATGGACAGGGCGAACTAGCTCGGCTACTTAATGACAAGGAAGCCTTTCAAGACTGCACAACAAATTTTATAATATACAAATAGCAATGAAACCGTACTCCAACTTCTATAAATTAGCCATTTCCCCATTTTGTAACCTTCAACAAAATATATGATAAACACACGCAAGACAAAAAAACAATGATATAATTATATGATGAACGTCCTGAAACTTCAAACAAGTCAAATCGAGTAGAACACCAAGCTCCAACTAAACACATGGAACTGGCGAAGGCCACGGTGGATGTGTGAGAACAAAGGCCACGAGACCCTCGTCGCCTATAGATTCTCGAATCTCCCCAAGCTTGCGACATTTGTCCTTGGAAATCGCACACTCGTAAACACTCTTTCCGCACACGACGAAAATCAAGTCACAATCTTTGGGATGAAAAGCGGCACCAACCAATGCATCCCTGCCGTCGTCATCCTCCGAAAAAGTCAAATCCCTTTGACCGACCAATGCCCACGAACAATCCCGACGGTCCAACTCCCAAACCCCCACGACGAAGCATTTCCGGCCCGGCCCGGCCTTCAAAACATGCAACAACCTCAACTCGTCCCTCACAACTCCAAGGTGGGTCCTCGAGTTCGGCACCTCACTCGTGCTGTTAATCACAATTTCCGGGAAGTAAATAACGGAACAATGATTGTTGCCCAAATCTAAAGAAACAACCCGGTCGCGTTTATATAAACCGTCCATCCAGTATAGAGTCCCATTGCACACAACAATTTTCAAGTCAACGCTATAGTCATTTACTGCACGCCTAGGCACCAAGAAGGAAGATTTGGTCCATTGTTGTGACTCTGAGCAAAACACAAGCACTGGCTGTATGTAACGGCCGACAGGAACTTCAATCGTTTCATGATCACAAATAAGAAAGTCAAGTAATACCACCTTGTATGGCCCGTTAGAATCGGGCGTGCATATTAATGCAAACCCAACCATAAATCCATAAGGAGCATCCTTAGGAATGAGAAACCACTTTTTAGTCACCGGATTACAGATGTAATACCTCCGTGGCTTGTGGCTTCCCACTAGCTGACGGGAATCAGGGGACACAAGCAACAAGTCGTTGCATGATGCCCTAATGACCATGAGCATCGGCCCCATAAAATCGAGGTAGTTAGACGATGATGATAATGCATGCTTGCCATGGAGAAGCAAAGCCTCCTTGGAGTAAAGAGTTGCAACCAATTGATAATACTCTGGGCAATCCCCATAAAGATCATTCATGCGGAAAAGAATGGTATATGATTGATCTAGATCTCGATGGAGACGGATGAACCTAGGGATGAATTGGGGTTGAGAGATCAATGCATGCCAATGCCAACAAACAGAGCTCGATTGAATAGCATATCGACAGTTGGAGAGCCTAAGGAAGATCTCCAACAATATGTCTTCATTGATACTCGACAAAAATCCTAATGCTTGAAAGTGAAATAAAGAGTTATCATTAGAAAGAATGCAAAAGCTAGTTTATGTCATTATAGCAGTCTTAATTACCAAGTCCAACGTCAAGATTGCCATCAGGGGAAACTTCAATTCTCGTCCTCGCCCTTTTGTTGCCTCTGCTGTCCTGATAAAATACAAACACAAGTGAAAAAAATTGAATCTTGGGTCAATTTGCAGTTTCGTATCAGCTGATTTTGGGGGTTTTTGCGTTAAACACAGAGAGAAGCAAACCTGTATCATAGGATTGGGATCCAATTGAGGGGAGGACACCACAAGAGCCGCACTGAGAGGTAATCTACGAGATGATGGCAACCTTCCAGACATTCCGTAAACAGGATTCGATTCTATTACAAATCATCAATACATAAATTATAAACTAGTATACAAAAGATCATCGAGGATTTCGAGGAGAGAGAAAAAAATATATGTATACGTAATTGAGAGAAAGGGTTGGACTGCAGTACCTGTGCTCGACATAATGCTCCAATCGGCTTCTTTCTTCCTCGACAGACAGAGACAGACAGACAGAGCCTTGATTTCGAGTTTAGACTTTGAGATAAAACTTTTCTACGCAAATTAAAAACACCACTGCTATGTAAATATATTATATATTATATATATAAAGAAGATGAAAGTGGGGGTAATTAAGTAACCTAGTCAAACTAGGAAATTGTTTAGGCTCTGTTTGTTAAAAGAACTCAACTGCTATTCAATATAATTCCAATCAAATTAATTCTATTCAAAATCTAACTCAACTTTAACACAGCCCTACTATCATCAATATTATCAATATAATTAAATAATAAAAATCATTCATTAAATAATAGCAAGTCCACTCACATAATTTTAACTAATAATCACTTCATATCATCTCTCTCATATTTTTACGTCAAACTAATTTTAATTATTTTATTTTAAATATTATTTTAATATAAACTCAAAATCTCACTAACAGCTAACTACATCACTTTTTCTAAATTAACTCTAATTAATTCAAAAAAATTACTTTAAGTTATTTCACTCAAATTATTCTTTAAACAAACACGCCCTTAAATAACTCTTTAAATTGTAAAATTGTGATAAAAGAGCTTCATCACCTATATATGACTACAACCTTTTTATTTGTAAAATTGTGATAAAAGACCTTCATATTAAATTTATAATTGATCTATTCTTTTTTTTTTTCTATAATTAGTTACTATAAACTATTTTACATTTTTTTTCCTATATTACCACATATTATATTTACATTTCTTATCTAATTGATATATCTATTATTATAAATATTTCTTCTTCTTATTTTTTGAATTTTATAACGTTTTGTTTGTATTTTATTTGTCATATATCATATATCAAATTAACTATCTTTCAACGATCTTCGATTTGACATCTGTAATATATATATATATATATATATATAAATTTAAAATACAGAACCTTGATATATATCCTTATATAAATTTATTTATGAAACTAAATTAGAAAATATCAAATAAAACTATAAACTATCTTATAAAGTAATAGAAATTTATGTGTATTAACGTACCATAAAAAAAAAAAAAAAAAAAAACAATATGTGCATGTGTGGGTGTGTGTGGTTAAAAAAAAATTATCATTTTAGAAAATCTTTTATGTAAAGTAATTAACTTTATTATTTCTTAGTTAGTAGTTGTATTTTTTTATCATTCGATTATAATAATATAAATTTATTCACTTTTTTATTTTGATAAAAAGCACACGTGTTATTCACAGGCGTTATATTAATCATTTAATTGTCGAATAAATTAATTATCATATTAAATTTTGACAAATATATATATATAATAAAATAAATAATACTTCATAAAATATTTTATAGAATTCGAAATAATATTTAAAAAATTTACTTTCTTATTAATTATTTATCATTTTTTATTTCACAATAAGAATTTCAGTTCTTTTTTACTTTTTGTTGGACAATTATTTTTTTATGAATCACCAGTGTAGTTTACGGGAGTTGTATTAATTACATAATCAACCTCGACATCACAAAACACTGTAGGTTTTCTATGTGGGAAACTAAGAAGAGAAATATACCACATTTACAATTGCTAAGGTAAATAATATCGCAAATACAAAGCCACAAACTTATAATGATAATTACGTTCTTATTTTAATTAAAATAAATTTAATATGTCAGGCAGTTTTTTTGTTCTTGGTTAACCATTAATAATGTTTAATTATCCCGTATTCAATTAAGGTAAATATTATATTTAGTTTTTTAAACAACTAACAACTACACACAATTTAATGATGAGGTTACTCTTGCATGATTTTTGGAAAACGTGACAATCTCATACCTTATACACTCAACCGAAAAACAATCGAAAGAAGAAGAAAAAGAAATAAGCCTTTCTCCTCTTCATATCTCGGTTATAGTTTATCATCTTTAGAAGAAACCAAAAAACTTCATCTCCCATAAACACACAAACAAAACTCTTCTCAGGGAAAAATCATTAAAAATTGAATGATGGCAAAGCGAAAAAACAAAATTGAGGCCAGATCCTCCAACAGTGAAGACGAAGCAAGATTAACTCACTCCCGATCTCTTCGCACATCTCAAATTGAACCTCTAGAGGGTAAGGTTGTCCAAAAGAAGCTCCAATTTCATAAAATTAGAGCTCTGAGCCGTGCCAAAAAATCGAATCCGAAGGCGGCCGAGGTTATGTCGAACGACGTATGATTGGGTGGTTGATTCGAGTTGTCGAGCGAGTTCGTGATCGAGTTTGGTTATTATTCGATGGGTTTCCTGTGTTTATAAACCATTGTAATATTTGAGAATACTTCCTGTTTAACTAACGTATATTTTGTGTAAAATTTTAATGGAACACCTACTTTCTATTGTATGAACACTATTACATGAGAATTACTACATTGATGTTTATCAATACAACTATATGTAACGTTTAATTGAGAGAAAACAAATGGGTATTCATATCCCATTGGATGGTATTGGTGTATTTTAAATAAAGTATATGTTGTGTTAAAGTAATTGTATGGTAAAATTGCGTATATGGTAAGGTAAATATTTTATTACGGCCACCTAACAACCATTAATTCTTAGCGGTATTTCACCGAACGATGTTCGACAACTAATAAAGTAGACTCTATAAATGGCTATCCAATTATAATATAATAGGTATCGGATGGGTCTAACATGCCTCCAAAGTCGGGCGATTGCCGAATAAAGCTGTTTAGAAGCTTTAGCACAAACTGAAGCTGGAGCCGAGCTCAAGCAGTTCAATCGAGCAAACGAGTTGAGCCTCGAGCATCATTTTAAGAGGCTCGTAAGCTCGACTGTTTGTTTACATGAACCTCATATAAGTTAATTATCACTATTAGAATACAAAGATCAAGATTGCCTATTTAGTTTCATAATAGGGCATTTATATTTAACATTCAATTGTTAAAATTTCGAGCCGAGCTCGAGCCATGTCGAACATCGAGTCGAGTTCGAACATTCTTATTTATTTATTTATTTTTCCACGAGTCGAGTCAATTAACGTTTTATATAGCTCGCCAAACTCGAACAATTTAGAAAATAATAATAATAAAAAAAAAAAAATGGGTCGACAAAGTGTATGTTTGACTCAACTGGCGTGGAGCCATTTTAATTTGCAGGCCTAGGATTATTGGTGACCGCTACGCTAACATATCCGCACATTTGCTTTAGTTAATTTTATCTCCTTTTCCGCAAAATCTGGCAACAAGTGAGAATTTTCTTACAAAACTCACAAGTCACACGTTGGTTTTACAGTACTGTTCAGATAATTTTCTTCTCTCCCTCATCTTTTCATTTTTATTAAAAAAAAAAAAGCAAAAAGTCATTTTTATATTTCAATTCAATTAAATGTTATATCTTTATTTGAATTAAAGGTTATATCTTTCAGTTTTTTTATTCAAGTTTATGTGTTTTGGATCTGCAGTGGAAGGGCCCAAAGCCAAAACGCTCAGTTATTGCGATTATATATCCCGGTGGTAAGAAACAATCCCTTTGAATTTTAATTGCTTAATGGCGCTGGATCTTGAATAACACTGGTGTAGTGTAGTGTAGATATCCTCCTCCTGTGTTAATAATATTTGAGTTTCTTTTATATGGTGAAGTGATGGGGTTAGGTGTAGGAATGTCTAAGGATTAATTAATAGTGATGAATCAGTCCTCCAACTTTCATGAGAATTACTACATTGAGGTTTATCAATACAGCTATATGTGGCGTTTAATTGAGAGAAAACAAATGGGTATTCATATCCATTGGATGGTATTGGTGTATTTTAAATAAAGTATATTTTGTGTTTACGTAATTGTATGGTAAAATTGTGTATATGCTAAAGTAAATATTTCATTCCGGCCACACAACGACCATTTCCTAGCGATATTTCACCGAACGTTGTTCGACAACTAATACAATAGACTCAATAAAGAGCTATCCAGTTACCATATAATAGGTATCAGATGGGTCTAACATGCCTCCAAAGTCTGGCGATAATAGTGCACGAAAACCATGTTCACGTCATGGTAAAATCCCCGGCAAATATGTAGTTATGGTAGCATTTCAGTATAGTAGATGAAGCAATGGTAAATGAATCAAGTATGTAGTTATGAAAAGTTCACTTTAATTAAGATAGAAAGCATTTGGGAGATTGGAGCCAAAGAAGCCGATGTGGGTCCCAAGGCCCCAGTGGTTCCTCATCATGCAATCTTGCCACAGGAAGTGCCTCAAAAACACCCGGCCATTGTTCCTCTGAGACGCCACCACCAAGCAAGCAAACTGGAAGTTTTGGAAAGGTGTCAGGAAGGTCAGGATTTGGCTATGTCCGTGCTCGAATACGATTTGCTGTGCAACTGCAGTTGGGACTTCCAAGTTGATCAAATCAGAGTTGGTGAGAGGTTTTTCCCTAAGGAGCCCACCCCTTATTGGTTCTGGTGCTGGTGCAGCTGCCATCTGCTAAATAACAAAATGAAAATTCATTAGCAATGCACATGAATAATAAAACAGGATGGTAAAATAACAAAATGAAAATTCATTAGCAATGCACATGAATAATGATAAATCTTCCGTAAATTATACTAGCGATCGATATAACACGCATAAACCCACAAAGAAACTGACCGAGGCCTTATCTCCAACTCAATCTCCTGACCTCTCTGTATCTAACAAATACTCAACCAATCCCTCCTTAGAATCTGGTATCACCTGGGACTAACATAACCTTACTAACAAATACTAAACTTTAACATAACCTTACTATTGAGCATTCTCAATATGCCAATTCTCATCAACCAAACAGGCCAGAATGCCAATTTTCATCATCTCCCACCAAACAGGATATCATCATCATTAAATGTGACTTGAAGGTATAAACTACAAAATAAATTCTCAAGCAATTTAAACCTCCACGGCATTCCCCCTTATACTTCTTGTGGAAACTAAAATATTCACTGCCCAATGATGATTTTTGTATGCTTGGATGTACATGTTTGTACACAAAAATTTTCACTCTAAATTTCATTCAAGTCAAAATCTAACTCAACTTTAACTCAACTTCAATATTATTAATATAATTAAATAGTACCATCCAATTATTCTTATACCATCCAATTATTCTTACACATTACATCTACTTTAATTCATTATTCAATCACTCACATAATTTTAACTAGCCATCACTTCATATCATCTCCCTCCTAATTTGACATCAAATCAACTTTAATTACTAAGCTAAACTTAGTAATAAAACTACTGAAACACCAAGCAAAGAATTCTCAATATTTATCAATATATTCAAATTATACAAAACTATAGGAGATCAAAGCAGTCTGGTATTTTGGCACAACCGTAATTGTAAGTAATGACAATTACAAACAACCTGTTTTTGTATGAGACATGGCACAATAAACAGAACAACTCTAAACTAGTCCTATTGTACTTTTTTTTTTTTTTTTTGGCCTATAGCTATGATTATAGTACCTACTCGAAAATTTGATGCAAACATGATTTTGTATCTTTTTTATTGGTGATTCTACATATACTGTGGCTTGGATGTACATGTTTTTATACAAAAATTTTCACTCTAAATTTCATTCAAGTTAAAATCTAACTCAACTTCAATATTCTCAATATAATTAAATAATATCATCCAATTATTCTTATACATCACATCTACTTTAATTCATTATTCATTCACTCACATAATTTTAATATATCACAAAACCTATGCCACGTCAAAAGGCAGAGCTCATAACTATTTACCAAATAACCATGAATTAGCTTGTTGCTTAATATAATTGGGCTTGAAAAAACTTACCTTGTTGTTCTTGATTACGGTGTCTTGTTCAAGATAAAACTGCAAAAAATAAAATAACAAAGACACGCAAACAAACAATCAGAGTAAAGAGAATGATAAGCCGCCCAATCAATCAGTAAAAATTGAATTGAAGAAATTAAACAATTTTCCCCAACCAACCATCAACAAACCGATCAAAGCAATTAAAGATGCGATGCTTCAACTCAAAAACAGCACATTTAATAAAAAACGCACACCCATACACACACACACACAAAGAAACACGCACACGCACACAAAGAAAACGCACACACACACAAACAGGGAAAAAATAGGAAGAAAATAACATTAAGGGAAAGAATAGGAAATCAAGAAAATTACAAGAACACACGCGCACACAAGCACACAATTCAGATTGGAACCTGATTGTCTTTGTGTCTCCTTCAATGAACAGGGAAAAAAAAATTAACACTAGAATTAAGAGAGGAAAAATAGATGAACGAACACGCATGCACACAAAGTTACAAATTGAAACCTGATTGTCTTCGCCTCCTTCAATGAAACTGCGAAAAAAAAATACTAAAATGAAGAGAGAGGGAGAGAAAGAATGAAGAGAGAGGGAGAGGAAGAATGAAGAGAGAGGGAGAGAGAGGAGAGCGAACCTGAATCTGACTGTTGTAACTGATTATGGTGACTGATTGTTGTGTGCTGGTAAATTTAAACTAAGGCTTTGAGCGCGGGCTAAAAACCGGCTATTGTTAATTTGTTGTTGTTATTATTATTATTATTATTATTATTATTTCTTTCTCTAACTCTATAAACACACACTTCCACGTGGCCCTTTATGGAATAAAAAACGACGTTGTTTTGGACGTCTTGAACCTGTTTTTCATTGGTCAAACACGCAACAATCAGTATGCGGATTTTAAGAGAATTTGCGCCTCCACGAGCGGCTGAGCCGTTTTGTTGGAGATGAAGGTGTCGAAGTCATCCTCGAGCTTCCGATGGGACTCTTCGCTGCAGCGTCGACTATATAGGGGTCGACGGAGCCCCAATCAGCGCCGGAGAGGACGGAGGGTAGGAGGACGTGGACCAGAATGACAGCGTCCTCAGGGTGGAGGTATTGGCGCACGACCCACTTTACGGCGAAGGCCGATTCGTCACCGAGGTCTTGCGCTGGCAGTTGGCGTTGGGTGTCTCTGTCTGCATTTCTGTGGGACTTTGGATGATACTGCCAAGTATCTTATCACCTAAAAAAATCATGTCCAGTTTCATCCGGGGAAAATCTAATTAGGTATGGTCGTAAGATACCCGTATTTTCAGTACAAAATTTACACACTTTTTTAACCTCAATCACTTTGTGTTTTCAGAATTTCTAGATTTGTGCATGCCTTCTGCCTCTCAATTACTGTTTAGATTTGACATAGACTCCAAACAATGTTCTAAAGCATGTTTGTTCTTATTTACTATGTTCTGGTATGGTGATTTTTCCCCCTTTTCCTGTACTATCTGTTGTCATTCTTGGTGCATATGTGAACAGGACGACCCGATCCTTCCACCACCCGATTTACCGACAATGGACGGACATGTTTGAGGCTTTTTAGATCGTGGCATTCTCCTCATATGAACTTGTTTTCGTATCCAGGGAGCATGATCTTCATTTTTTGTAGGAATTTGGAGGGACAAGTTCATCGTGTTTTGCAGGTATGCATATTTGGGTTTGCTATCATTATTTGTAGGTTTGGCATTCTAAGTTGATTTGTTGTCCTTCTCTTATGGCACCAGAATACAGGAGTGGCTGAGAAATACAAACCAAGTTTGGATAAAGGCATACCTGGTAATGAGACTGATCTCATGAACAGAAAGAACCTTTTGGGTCAAATACATATCCTTGGAAGAAGGAAGGAGTGTCTGGGTGAGTGATTAGTTTGTCTTAAGTAAGTGATCTTACTTTGTAATGAATAAAAGCATAATTTCACAGGTATAATTGGGAAGTTAATGTGTTTCACTTTTATTTTCATTTTTTTTTTCTTTTTAGGTTTGTCTTAGATGCTTGTCGAGATATAACCTTATCATTCTGATAGTTGCTGCAGCAGCCCCTTTGGCCCTTGGTATTAACACCGAGGTAAGATGAGCAGTATCTATTATGTATATTTACTTAATATAGTATATTTATTTGTGACTGCCCATCTTGTATAGATAAGGTTTTTTCCTCGAACAATTTACTCGAGTAGCATGGAAAGTTCTCACTCTTATGTGTGTGAATTGGTCCATAATTCTAATTTTGGTAAAGAATGAAGAGAATTGAGTGTTTTTATGTCAGATGAATAAATGTCTGATAGCATGTTAGCTTAAATCGTTGCAGGTAGTGAACTATATGTAGTACTTGAGGAGCTGACTATGAACTGTATGAATTCTTATAATAGTTTCTTATAGATTGAATTATGCTATTAAATTATATTCTTCTACCCTCTCTGTGTTGCCATGAGAAGTATTTTGTGCTGCTTTATGTTATCTTGTTACATTGAATTATATAATCAAATGAGGCTTGATGTCAATGATATATTCTCACATAAAGAATTCATCATGTTTGTAAGGTTAATTATATAAGAAGTTTGGTAGTGATTGTGAGGAATGCAACGAACTGTATAAAAGAAGGCTTATTTTATGATTCAAACGGAACTTTTTCTTATTTTAGGGTGTAAAAGAAGGTTGGTATGATGGAGGAAGTATTGTCATTGCAGTTCTTGTAGTCATTGTTTTTACAGGTATATTCATATAACTATTTGGTTTCAATCTATTACATTGTGTTCGATTTGATACAATGCCTGTGTATGATGATTTTAAGTACAATTCCCCATCTGATTGTGTTTGTCAACACGGACTTCTTTACAAATTTATTGAACTGTATTTTAATTGCTTAATTAGGTTTAATATAAAATAGAACCAAAGCTTTAGTAGTATGTCGCTGATTGATATATGCTCAGTGGAACTTTTTTTAAATCCCTATAGTTGCATGTTCAGGTTCATTTCACTTTCCAGTTAATGTGATCTAGAATTCATGGACATGTGACAAAGCATTGATATTGGTTGGACAAAAAATTGGCATCAAAGGGGAGGTGTATAATGTGCACTCATTATTAGTATAAATGCAATCCGAGCTTTTGAAAAAAAAAATATGAACACAAATTAACTTCAAAGTATGTTCTACGTGTGTGTGAGAGTGAGTGAGTGAGTGAGTTAGTAATATCATAGAGAATAGTACTATCTTGAAAGCTATAACTGTAAACTTTTATTAGCAGGGTATGTGATGCTTTGTGTTTTAGATATTTTACAGCAAATTAATAATTTACACTTGTGAACTTACTTATATTCTCATGTCCAAAAAGAAGTCTGATTTAAAAAAAAAAAAATAGAAAAAGAAAAAAAAAAGCAGAAACATAATGATTGTCTGTCATTTGAACATTTCAGAAAAATTAACAATATTGATGAATTTATATTTTGTGAGAAAGGTATATAACTTGTGTATTTAGGAAACAAATAGAAACTTGTTGTGTTAAGAGAAAGAAAATTGTTAGTTCAAATGGGGAGGGACCTGTTTGTAAAAGTACTTGAGGTTGATGTGGTTGTGCATATAATGACATACACTTTGGTTAGTAGATAATTTAAAAGTTCAGGGGGAGAAATCTATTAGCTTTAACAATTAGTGAAGATAAAATGGGAATTATTAGAGTAATGAATTGAGTTTCCCCATGAAGGGATGTTTTCAGTCCCTAGATAGTGATGTAACCTGAGGACAACCTTCCAAGGGTAATGCAAACCTACTGCTGGAACCATATACAGTTGCATTTCTATCTATTTATGTCAGTTTTACAAACTAATAAATGGTTCTCCAATTAAATTAAGAGACAGAAGATTGCATTCTTCCCATGATAGCAACTTATGCCTTTCGTTCATAAGAATACCTTCTACTTGGTAAAGTAGCTATCGATATGATTTGCAGCTGCAAGTGATTATAAACAATCGCTTCAGTTCCAAAATTCGAACGAAGAGGTAAGCTTTATGTGGATATTTTGCAATTTTTTTTTTCGTTCCTCGTCACTGTTTCTTTTGTTCTATAGCTCCTGAGTTTCTTTTTCATGTGATTATTAGCGGGCAGAGAATTAAGGTTTCGATATTTGATATAGTTGTTAGCGACGTTGTGCCTCTTAAAATTGTAGATCTGGTGTTTAGAAAGATCTCTCTTTCTCCCTGGGGAGAATGCATCCCTTAGTATTCAGAGGACATCAATCGTAGAGCTGCAATGGATGTTTGAGTTGATTGCTTTGTTGCCTTCACATGTCTACAGATACCTGCAGATGGACTTGAGATATCTTGTGATTCCCTTTCGATTGATGAATCAGGTGACTGGGAAGATTAAAATTGTAAGCCTAAAAATATTCTGCTGTATTTTATGATGGTGACTTTGTCCTAACTCTTATTTTCTTGCCATTGACCTTGTTAACTTGACTAGGATCCTACACAAACGCCCTTTCTGATGTCTGGCCGCACGGTAGCTGATGGTTGTGGCACTATGCTGGTAATAGTCTTGTTCATGTTTCACTGCTTAATAAATCTTCAGACTGCATCTCTATGCTTGAATTCTTGTACCAACTGTTTGCAGATATTTATCTCTGTATAGAGTGCATGGGAGAGTAATATAATTTGCAGGATTGCTGCCATTCTGTTGGCTTATATTGTAAATGTTCTTCCAAGTCGTTAATATATTTGTGGTTTCATTCGCAACGTAGAGGGGCAAGAGCGGAAAAGGATAGAAGAAGTAAGCTTGTTGGTAATGATATGTTTGTCAGGAAAATCCAAGAGCATAAGATGTTGCTTATTTCATCTGTCTTTTCGTTAACACTGCATTCTATTTGACAACATGATTTTAGCCAAGAAATTGGAACTTGTATCTTATGAGAAGTGAAAATGTTTGTTTTGTTCCAATAGAATTCTCGAAACTTATGGTTTTGTTGTGACATAAACGATTTATTAGAAAGTACACTTCACACCAGCAGATGTGCATGTATTTTGTGACGAAGTGCACTGTGAACGGTCACTTGGAGTTTCCTGTATATTATTGCAACTTTAACTTCTTCTTTTTTTTTTTTTAATGTTCTTTGTGATGCTTTGAGGCCTTTTATTTTCGTTTATCCTGTATTTGCCCAATATTAAATCCAATTAAATGGAGTTGCAACTTTTATTGGCATACTTGGACTTGTTGTGGCAGTGTTATTTAGGTAATCAAAGAATATGGTAGGTTTATTTGATGTATATAAAAGGTTGCTCCACTATGGAGTCGGCTCCATATCAAAACCGCTAAATCGTATTATATAACTACTTTTCAGATGAACATATATTATATTGGGCATACAAGAGATCCTTACGGCAGAGTTCAACTTACAGCTGGGAAGACTAAATTTGGTGATGTCATAGATGGATTTATAAAAATATCAGTATTGCGGTATGCATTCGTTGAGATAATTATCAAATATTTCCTTAATTTATGCTAATCTAGGGTTGCCAGCTAATTTGGATAAACCCCATTATGACAATTGTAGTAGTTGTAGTGCCAGAAGGTCTTCCATTAGCTGAAACTTGACCTTTTTTTTTTAACTGACTTAAGTCTATAATGTGTTGATAAAGTTTGTTAAGTTTTTTATAGTTAAATTTAATTAGTTAATGACTAAATTAAAAATATTTATTTTAATTAATCCCACATATATGTTAAGTACAGTATTATCTTAATATCTTATTAATTTTTCAAAAAAATAGTAACTTTTTTCAATAAATTTTATAAAAATTAGTCAAATGTGCTTATATTCATATAAATCAGAAAAAAAAAATCTTAGATATATAAAAAGAACATCGTTGAAATAACTTGAATCCGCAAGGATAATTCTATACTCATTATCAATTACTTTAAATTTTTTGTTTATATTAAAAATTAATATTATATTTACTCATTTATATTTAGATGGTATTTTTTTTATTAAGAAGCAAGGACAATCTCTATCAATCAATAAGAGTCAAGGACAAACAATATAAAGAAGTGTTTCCTATGCTATGACATGATCAATAAGAGTCGAAGACAGTCTCTGTCGCACGTCGGCTTACTACTGAAGAGCTCTGCATTTAGTCATTAGCAATTATACGTGGCGCTTTTTAGAGTTACGAGTCAGTGGGATTTCAAGATTTTGATTTGAGCTGAGGGAGATTTTGACGATAGAAAAACCACGACGTCGTTTTATAAAGAAGTGTTTAAGAATATTTATATTTTTTTTCTTAATTTTTTTCAATGAATTTGTTATGATTTTTACTATTGTTTATAATTTTCATTATTTATTTTTTCATGTATCATATAGTTTTCCGTGTAAATGCACGGGACAAAAACTAGTTTCTTTTCGAGATGCACGGGACATATATATTAAATGAATTATTTTCACAGACTCTGTTCGTTTAAGTCTAAAACGCAATAAAGTTCATCATCTTTTTTATTTGTATATTTTAAACTTAACAAATAATAGGGTTATAATTTATTGTAACCCTATTAGTCGTCTGCTGCGCCTCGAGCATTAGTCGTCTCCAAATAGTGATGAATCAGTCCTCCAACTTTCATAAATTAGTCATATAACCCAATATTGTAACCTTGAGCAAAATATACGATACTAATAAAATTATAAAATTAGTATTGGAGAACCATAGCAATATGCCAATAACATAAGATCGCGATCATGCAAGATCTACCGGCCTAATGACTAGAAAGTACTCTATTGGGGCTTTGGTAAAACGTAAACCAAAATCAATATTTTAATCTTTCAGATTCCTTATTTCAAAGAGAATCTCAGAACGTCTGCATTTACATACGAAGCATTAAAACATACGACAGAATTAAACTTATAAAGATAATTTCTCTCGTCCTCAAAGGTTACCTTGATCCCCAATTGATGTTTTACGTTTCCGCCTTCCTCTTCAGACCCTCGAATTCATTCAATTGCAGCTCATATAGAAAATAAAAACACAACACATTAAAGAGCCACAAACAAATCTATCACAAGGTGCAATATATGAACCAATGATGGCAATCCATTATATGAACAAAAGCTAATCCGTAGCTAAAGAATCCATTCTTCAATCTAACCTAAATGATGAATAAACATGTAACACTCCGAAACAACACAACCACACTAACAACTCTGTCCATTTTCACTTGCCAGGTGAACTTTCTGTAACATAATCATCCAAAAAAGTATGCTTAACCTGTTAATTTGAGAGGGAAAAGAAATTAAATAACCTATCCATGAAACCCTCACAATACACTTGGTAGTTTCAGTCACAGACATCGAACTCAAATCTAAACACTTGAATTAACAAACCAAAAAAGTATAAATTTTTTATTTATTTTTCTAAAAGAAAAAGAAAAAAGGCTCGACCAATAAAGCAAGCAAGCAAGCACATTCGTGTTCGACTCAGCGCCTAATCCTCATTCCCTTGCTCAGGTTGTTCAAGCTGAACATTATCTCATACTGCACAATAAATTTTATAATATACAAATAGCAATGAAACAGTCCTCCAACTTTCATAAATTAGTCATATCCCAATTTTGTAACCTTGAGCAAAATATATGATAAACACATGCAAAACGATATAATTATATGATAAACGTCATGAAACTTGAACGAGTCAAGTCGAGTCGAACAACAAGCTCCAACTAAACACACGGAACTGGCGAAGGCCACGGTGAATGTGTGAGAACAAAGGCCGCGAGACCCTCGTCGCCTATAGATTCTCGAATCTCCCCGAGCTTGCGACATTTGTCCTTTGAAACCGCACACTCGTAAACACTCTTTCCGCACACGACGAAAATCGAGTCACAATCTTTCGGATGAAAAGCGGCACCAACCAATGCATCCCTGCCGTCGTCATCCTCCGAAAAAGTCAACTCCCTTTGACCGACCAACGCCCACGAACAATCCCGACGGTCCAACTCCCAAACCCCCACGACGAAGCATTTCCGGCCCGGCCCGGCCTTCAAAACGTGCAACAACCTCAACTCGTCCCTCACAACTCCAAGGTGGGTCCTCGAGTTCGGCACCTCACTTGTGCTATTAATCACAATGTCCGGGAAGTAAATAACGGAACAATGATTGTTGCCCAAATCTAAAGAAACAACCCGGTCGCGTTTATATAAACCGTCCATCCAGTACAAAGTCCCATTGCACACAACAATTTTCAAGTCAACGCTATAGTCATTTACTGCACGCCTAGGCACCAAGAAGGAAGATTTGGTCCATTGTTGTGACTCTGAGCAAAACACAAGCACTGGCTGTATGTAACGGCCGACAGGAACTTCAATCGTTTCATGATCACAAATAAGAAAGTCAAGTAATACCACCTTGTATGGCCCGTTAGAATCGGGCGTGCATAGTAATGCAAACCCAACCATAAATCCATAAGGAGCATCCTTAGGAATGAGAAACCAATAAGGAGCATCCTTAGGAATGAGAAACCACTTTTTAGTCACCGGATTACAGATGTAATACCTCCGTGGCTTGTGGCTTCCCACTAGCTGACGGGAATCAGGGGACACAAGCAACAAGTCGTTGCATGATGCCCTAATGACCATGAGCATCGGCCCCATAAAATCGAGGTAGTTAGACGATGATGATAATGCATGCTTGCCATGGAGAAGCAAAGACTCCTTGGAGTAAAGAGTTGCAACCAATTGACAATACTCTGGGCAATCCTCATAAAGATCATTCATGCGGAAAAGAATGGTATATGATTGATCTAGATCTCGATGGAGACAGATGAACCTAGGGATGAATTGGGGTTGGGAGATCAATGTATGCCAATGCCAACAAACAGAGCTCAATTGAATAGCATATCGACAGTTGGAGAGCCTAAGGAAGATCTCCAACAATATGTCTTCATTGATACTCGACAAAAATCCTAATGCTTAAAAGTGAAATAAAGAGTTATTATTAGAAAGAATGCAAAAGCTAGTTTATGCTATTATAGCAGTCTTAATTACCAAGTCCAACGTCAAGATTGCCATCAGGGGAAACTTCAATTCTCGTCCTCGCCCTTTTGTTGCCTCTGCTTTCCTGATAAAATACAAACACAAGTGAAAAATGTTGAATCTTGGGTCAATTTGCAGTTTCGTATCAGCTGATTTTGGGGGTTTTTGCGTTAAACACAGAGAGAATCAAACCTGTATCATAGGATTGGGATCCAATTGAGGGGAGGATACCACAAGAGCCGCACTGAGAGGTAATCTACGAGATGATGGCAACCTTCCAGACATTCCGTACACAGGATTCGATTCTATTACAAATCATCAATACATAAATTATAAACTAATATACAAAAGATCATCGAGGATTTCGAGGAGACAGAAAAAAATATATGTATACGTAATTGAGAGAAAGGGTTGGACTGCAGTACCTGTGCTCGACATAATGCTCCAATCGGCTTCTTTCTTCCTCGACAGACAGACAGAGCCTTGATTTCGAGTTTAGACTTTGAGATAAAACTTTTCTACGCAAATTAAAAACACCACTGCTATGTAAATATATGCTTAAAAGTGAAATAAAGAGTTATTATTAGAAAGAATGCAAAAGCTAGTTTATGCTATTATAG